TTCAGTACATATAGATCATTTTCCAGGATAGATCATGTATTAAGTCCCCAAACCAGCCTCAACACATTTAAACAGCTAAATATATATACACATAGTAAATCTTTTATGAACAAGGTAGAAAAAAACTAAAAGGAAAACTGGAAATTTTACAAAACACTAAATAATAAGAAAGAGCTCAAATCAATAACATTAATTTCACACCCTGAGAAATTATAAAAAGGATGAGTAAATGAAGCCCAAAGAAACCTAAATGAAAAAAAAGGTCAGAGGAGAAATCAATGAAATATAGAATAAAAGAACAATCAATGAAATCAATATTTGCTTCTTAGCAAATTTGTTTTAAAATTGATAAACCCCTAGCTACATTAACAAAGGAAAATGAAACACACTAGTAAATAAGACCAGATATGTAAGAGACTATTGGCCAGATATTAAAAATTAAGAGAATATTATGCACAACTGTACTCAAATAAATTAGATGACAAAAATTGCACAAAGTTCTAGAAACACTCAAATTACCAAAACTGCCCAAAGAAGTAGAAAATCTGGAAAAGAAATTGAATCAGTTTTAAAGCATACATACAATTTTCAACCAAGGAAACTCCAGGCCCAGATGCTTTCTTCATTGGTGAATTCTACCAAACATTTAAAAAGTTAGCACCATGGTTCGCAAACTTCTTGCGGAAATAGTGTAAGGAACACTTTCAAACTCATAATTCTATGACACCAGAGTTATTCTGATAAGAAAGTCAGATAAAGACACCACAGGAAAAAAAATTATCAACCATGTTTAAATAATAAGACAACCATATTTAATGTTTCTGAATTGCTACAGAGGAAGAGTGCTGAGATTATAAGTGTTGTATTATCTATAAATTCACTACAAAAACAGTTTTAAAATATAGCCCTGGCAGAATAGTGGCTATGCATTTGACTACTAACCACAAGTTCACTAGTTCGAAACCACCAGGTGTTCCACAGGAGAAAGATGAGGCTTTCTACACTCACAATGAATTTTTTTTCCAGGGTGGAGTATAGCACTGATGAAACGTTATCCTTTAGTTCTTTAATATTTCCTCCCTTACTATTATTGTTTTTGTTTTACCTCATTAATCTTGTAAGACTTGCATATGTTCATTTGTATAATTACAATTGTTTGTTACATGAAAGCCAAGATAGGTAACCCTTCAGAAACAGTAACAAGAGCAATGAATCCATGAGGATACGGGAGGAGAAGGGATTGGAAAGGGGGGAAGGGAGAGCTGATAGCAATGATGACTGTAAACGGATATATTGGATGGTGTAAGGTTATATATATATATATATATATATATATATATATATATTTGTAATGGTGTAAGGTACTATATATATATTAATGGTGTAAGGTACAATATATATATATGTTTGTAATATAATAATAAGAGTTCCTGGGTTGGGGTAGGGGGAGGGAGAGGATAAATGGAAGCTGTTATCAAAGGGTTCCAGAAAAAAGAAAATTTTTGAAAATGATGGTGGCAGAAATTGTACAATTATGCTTGATCTAACTGAATTATGGACAGTTATAATATCTGTAAGGGCTCCCAATAAAATGATTAATTAAGAAAAAGAATTTTTACCCCACATTTTTCTTCCATTCTATCCAGGATCATCTAATGTGATCTCTTTCACAGAACTCGGTAATGGTAGCTGTGCACCAACTAGTTCTTCTGGGCACAGAATAGAAGAAGCTGAGATTCATGCTGTCCATTAGTCCTTTTGACTATTTGTTTCCATGTGTCTTTTATTTTATTCACTCTTTATTCCAGATAGGGAAAGAGCTATAGGTGCATTTTAGGTGGCGCAGTGGTTACATGTTGGTCAGCAATCCTCATGCTCGGTAGTTCAAAACCACCAGCAGCTCTGCGGAAGAAAGACTGGATTTTCTACTCCCCTGAACAGTTATAGTCTAGGAAACCCACAGGGGTCACTATGAGTCAGCATTGACCCAATGGCAGTGAGAATTACTACTAAAACTCTCGGGTATATACTCGTGTATAAGCTGAGTTTATCAGCACATTTTTAAATTAAATAATCATTTTATTAGGGGCTGATACAACTCATCACAATCTGTACATACGTCATTTGTGCCCAGCATATTAGTACAAAAATTGACTTCATCATTCTTACAACACCCACTTTCCACTTGAGCCCTTGGTGTCAGCTCATTTGTCCCCCTCCCTCCCCGCTCCCCCGGAACCCCTGATAATTTATAAATTATTATTATTTTATCATATCTTACCCCATCCAACGTCTCCCTCACCCACTTCTCTGCTGTCCATCCCCCAGTGAGGAGGCACATTTTTAATGCAGTTTTTGTGGGAAAATTAGGTGCCTTGGTTGATTTGTGATGGTTGGACCAGGGTGCTGCTGCCTTAGCCAGTTCCTGCTTCAGCTGGCAAGGCTGACTTCCTGCAAGACATCCCCAAGGAGAAGCCACATGGACCTACCCTGATGCAGCCCTGGGTGCTGGAGCAGCTGTGTGGAGATCCCTGCCAATGCTGAGAAACTTAAACGTTCACTGATTCAGCTTTCCTCCTGCAGTCAGCATCACACTGTGTGTTTTGTGAGATGGAGGAGGACTTTGTGAATTGGTGTCGGGTTAATGTTGGACTTGTGGGCTTGGGCAGCACTGGGTTGGGATGTTTTCTTGATGTGCACTTAACCTTTATATAAAACTCCCCCTTATACATGAATTTCTGTGGATTTGTTTCTCTAAAGTAGCCAGACTAACACAGAGGCCACTAAAAGGAAAATAAAGGAATATTGCAAACAAGTATTTGCCTGGTGTGATAGTTTTTGTGTCACCTTGTCTGGGCCAGGATTCTGAATAGTTTGGCAGTTAAGGCCACCCCCAGGATGTGATCTAACACAATTATGTTAATTATCTATAAATTAATTCCAAGTAATTAATAACCATCCAAATCAGAAGCAACAGGCTCTGCTAGTCTTACTGGTGAATTCTTCCAAATGTCCAAAGAAGAATTTATCCAATTTTCTACAAATTCTTTCAGAAAATAGAAACAGAGGAAACCCTTTCTAACCCATAGCATTCCCCTATTACCGTAATTAAAGAAAGAAATCTGTAGGTAGAAAAAATACATTCCAATACCTCTCATGAACACTCTGACCAAATGGAATTTATCAAAGATATGCAAGGCTAATTCAACATTAAAAAGGTATCTAATATAATTGAACATACAAAAATATAAATAGAAAGGATCATATGATCATATCAAAAATAGAATAAAAAGTTGACAAAACTCAACATCCACCCATTCAATATCAAAATCTTCAATCTGATAAAGAACATTTACCAAAAAAACCCCTACAGCTAGTATTTTAGGCCAGGTTGACAAGATAAACAAATTCGGTGACCCTCATATATGTGTAGGAGAAAGCCTTATATCAGGAAGTAGTTATATAAATGGGTACCCCCCCAAAAAAATACCTGAATTGCCTGGGCATAGCAGATATTTCATAGCATGCATTTTCCCTGGTAAGTGAGCATCTAGTAACTCATACTGAATTATTGCATCCAGTGGCATTGCCTGAAAAGGTTCTCTCTGGTTACAGTGAATTTTTTCATAAAAGCAGTTTCACTCAAACCTCGTTTTTTTGTGATGGCCAATTTAAGAGAACAGCGTGTGGCTGTGAAATTTTGTTTACTGCTCTGGTTTTGGGAAAACTGACACAGGAAGTGTTGTAATGTTGAATACAGCTTGCAAGGACAGTGCTATGGGAGAAACTCAAGTGTATGAGTGACTTTCTAGTTTCAAAAAAGGTGAAATGTCAATTGATGACAAACCTTATTCTTTCAACTTCCCAACAGATGAAAATGTCGACTCCTAGTGCATTTGGAGTTCATTCCACCAGGTCACACTGTTAATCAAGTTTTCTATTTATAGATTCTGAGAAAATTGCATAACAGTGTGCCATAACAAAGGCCTGATTTGTGGCAGGCGGGGACTGGTTTTGCCACCATGACAATGCACCTGCTCATGCAGCCATCTCAGTGCACCAGTTTTTGACAAAAACAGCAGGCCTCTCTTGCCCCACAGACCTGATTCACATGACCTTGCTCTGTGCAACTTCTTTTTGTTTCCTTGAATGAAGAAGAACACAAAAAGGCAGCGATTTGATGATGCAGAAGAGGTGAAGAAAAAAATGAGGGAGGTGCTGTCAGCCATCCAAACAGATGAATTTGAAAAATGTTTCCAAGAATGGAATCACAGTTTTGACAAATGTATTAAGTGTAATGGAGGTTATTTTGAAGGTGGTAAGATTGTTTTGTAAAAAAAGTTAAATACATAACTTTGAAAAACAATTCTTTTTTTTTTTGGAGGTACCCCCTCATATATCAGGAAAACATCCAGTCCAAGTCCGACACTAGTCTATAAGTTCAATACCAGTCCATAAATCCCTCTTCAGACTCACACAGCCACAAGCAATGATGCAGAATGCAGCAAGATTACAGGCCAATGGGTGAAAAGTCTTGTGGCTCAAATGGTGGTGGAAATATCACAAGGCTGATGCAGGTGTCAGTATGGCTTACCAGGAGGAAGGTGAAGGCAGAAAGAGAAAGACGTTTCCAGGACTCTCCTAATGAGGATTTCAAGCCCACCAGGAGGAACCATCAGGCTGTGAACTGATGGACAGGCCGGTCTCCAACCCTACACTTCAAGTTGAGACGAAATTATAACTACCACAGTTAGTTTCATATTTAATGGTGAGAAACAAGATATTATTGCCCTATGATTGGAAACAAGCTAAGGATGTCCCCTCTTACTATTTTTCATCAACACGACCCTAGAAGACATCAAACAAACCGAAAAACAAACTTATTGTCATCAAGTCAAATCTGATTCATAGTGACTATATAGGGTGTGGTAGAACCGCCCCCAGCAGAAAGCCTCCGAGGAACAAGGTGGCAGCACAGCTTCTTGGCAGATATCACTTACCAGAGCTCTGGAGTTGGGCCAAGCAGGCTTTGATGCTCAGGAGCTGAGTGTGGCTAGCTAAGACAGGTCCTGTCCTTAGGGCTCAGCTGGCACACCTGGAGATGAGGGCACCTGAACAGGCCTGTCGTGCTGAGACCTGAGAAGCACCAGGTAAGGCACCTGGTTTCAGAAAGCTCCTCTATCTCCTCCTTTATTCCTTCTCTGTGCACCCCTCCCGGGATCAATTTCCTGATGAGGATGGAGGTGAGGTGGACAGGACAGGATGGGGAGAGGGAGGCGGCCGCGGGTGACGCGATGCGCCCACGTGACAAGTCAGGCGCGGACGTGGGCACTAGACCCCGCGCCCGCCCTCCCTCGCAGAGCTCCAGTCCAGCGCCAGCACCACCAGCTCTCGCTCCCCGGCGGCGGCCGAGGAGCAGGCTGCAGCGAGCCCGGGAGCCGCTGGCCTGCTCTGTCCTGCAGGTCAGTGTGTGTATGGGGGGGATGGGGAGTATGGCTGAAAGACTCAGGAGTAAGAGAGTGAGAGCAGGGCTCCCAGAACTGGGAATAGGAGTGGGGGAGGGGAAGGATGGGAAGCACCTGGATGGGAGGGGGGGAGCGTTGGGGGGTGGGGGGGGCGGGGAGGAAAGGATGGGGAATACAGAGTACCAGAGGTCTAGAGGGGATTGGATGCAGAAAAACATCTGCAGGAGACTGAGAGCAGTTTGGGCAGCTGTGGGAGAGAAACTCCCACAGTGTCCGGCCTACTTCTGGAGCCCCCTCCTCTGCAATCTCCACATCCCTTTTAGAGCCAGAAATGGGGGCAGCGAGGGGCGCAGTGCAGTGGGACAGCAGGACAGACGAATTCTGTGAATACTTCTCACCCTGGTTTCTGTGCCTTGGAGGAAAGATTGACCTTTGGGGGGAAGGCGTGGGGCGGGGCCGAGTGCTTCCTGGAGAGGGAAGCATTGAAAACCAAATTTTGGAAAACATCCTTTTCTGGTGCCTGAGGCCTGAAAACAAATGGCGGTTGCGGGGGTGGGGTGGTGGTGGGTGGGGTGGTGGTGGGAGGTGATCATTGAGTGAGGAAGCCGGGATTCAGGAAAGGACCTATCTTATGTCTGTCTGCAGGTCTGCGCATCTGTTGCTCCCAGGACTCTGTGAGGCTAGAAAAAGAAGAGAAACCTGTTCAGAAGCCCTGCAGGTCTGGCGGGGTGCCATGGGGTGAGGGGTGGGACTGGACCTAGACCCAGGGCTGTGTGACCCCACCCCCAACACATACATGCATAACCTCCCACACTGGAGTGGGCTGTTAACAAAGTCTGCCTAGGAACTGGTTGGGAGAAATGGTAGCGATAGGGATGGGCACACTTGAAGACCCGGACCTGGTTAGAGGAATGTTGAGGAGGGGGAGATGCTAGTACCAACTGGATCTATGCACCCCTCCTAAATCCTCAGTCTCCCTTCTCTTCTCTTTGTCTCCTCTCCTCTCTCCTTATGCCTCCCGACAGGAAAAGGAGTAGAATCTCACCATGGAAAAAGTCTACAGTGAAAATGAAGGCAACCTGGAAACCCAGGGAAAACCCAAGCGTGAAGTAGAGCCGGAAGAGGAAGGGAAGTCCGAAGAGGCGGCCCGGCTGGAGGTGGAGAGGAAGGCAGAATGCCAGGGGAAGCCAGGTGCTGAGGGAGAGGCGGGGGCTGAGGGGCAGCCAGAGGGAGAGCAGGAGACTCAGCAGGGAAAGCCAGGAGATGAGGGCACTCCTCAAGGGGAGGCCCAGCGGAAGCCCGAGAGCGAGGCCCGGGCCTCCGAAAAGCGCCCCGCTGAAGATCACGTGCCCAGGAAAGCCAAAAGGAAAACGGACAGGGGCACCGATGATTCCCCCAGGGACTCTCAGGAGGACTTACACGAAAGGCACTTGAGCAGCGAGGAGATGATGATGAGAGAATGTGGTGACGCGTCAAGGGCTCAGGAAGAGCTAAGGAAAAAGCAGAAAGCGGGTGGCTTTCATTGGTTGCAAAGAGAGGTCCAGGATCCTTTCCCCCCTAGGGGCCAGCGGGGGGTCAGAGGAGTCAGGGGCGGAGGTAGGGGCCAAAAAGGCTTACAGGATGTCCCCTACCTTTAATCCCGTTGCCTTTCCATTCTGATTCTCAGATGGGAATCGTGCCAGCCCTGCTTTCCCTGGCAGGCTTCTGCCAGGCTCTGTGCTCTAACCTGTGCTGATACTTACCTTGCTTCAGGTGTCACTCTTGTTACCAGCAGCCTTGGACCCCACTGCAGCGCTCTGTGTGTCAGTAGGGCTTTCACCCATGTGCATGGGGGAGATGTTCACGGTACCTTGTAAAATGTGAATAAACTGTTTGTAAACCTGCATATACAGTATCAGCCCATTTTTGTAAACTTTTCTGTGTGCGGGATACATCCGAGCACCAGGGAAACTCTGAAAGTGTGTACACTAGGAAGCCTCACTAACTGCCAAGGAGTCGATGCTGACTCAGTGACCCTATAGGACAGGGTAAACCTGCCCCTGGGAGTTCCCAAGACTGTCACTTCACGGGAGTAGAAAGGAGGCAAGGATTATTCTTGTAAGCTGACAAAAACAGTTCTCGCCTGCACTCAAAAATGCATCCAATCACCTGAGAGTTTTACACACATACCCTGGGTGTCAGCCCCCTGCTGGTGTGCCCTATCACCTGGGTCGAACCACATCAGGTGAGTACTGGCTCCTCTACTGCTCCATGGCTCCCACCAAGGCATTCTGGGTTCCCTCATCTCCATTGTTTCCCTAAAGGTTATGGCTTGTGTCTATCACAAAATGAATAAAAGCTGAAAACAGGAAGTACTACATGATAAGTAAGTGATCTATCTAGTAAGCTTATGAAGATAAGGAAAACACTTAAACATCTCGTCACAACTTAGATGAAAGGTACAACTCACATCACTTCTGAGGCCTGGAGCTGGGGGAACTCACCTGGCAGTTAAAGAGTCTGTCTGCCTCACTAATTTCATAGTCACCTGTGACGTGGGGGTAATTTTTGCCTCACAGGACTGTTAAATGGTTCATTTGAGGTACTGAGCGCATGAGCTATGTTGAGACCCGGTCCCATCAGACACTCGGGAGTATACCAATCCCATGCAGTAGCAATAATATGGATGGGATAAGACACTGGTGGGGAGAGTTGGGAGAGAGCTCAGCTGTACTTAGGAACAAATTCAGGCAGCTGAAAGGTGGGTGCCACTCTCTTCTGGGTACTGCAATGTCTGCTGGCTACAGTGCACTACCGATAGCTAACAATGGACTAGAGATTTTAAGGCTCCCAAACCCTATCCATTTATCTGGAATCCACAGTTAGTCAATGCCCACCTATCCTTGCCCCTTATAAAACCATAAAAAACAGCAAACAAAACCCCGAAAATCAAAAACTAAACTGTGACGGAGTTGATGCCGACTCACAGCACAGGGTAGAACTGCCCCAGTGAATTTCAGAGACTAACTCTTTACAGGAGTAGAAAGTCCAATCTCTGTCTTGCAGAGCAGCTAGTAGTTTTGAACTGCTGACCTTGCAGTTAGCAGTTAGCCACAAACTTTGTGGATAACTCTCCTCTCCCCACTTTAGTTACAATTAACCCAATGATCCTCTCAATGATGCTTTCTGATTGGGAGACAGGTTGCAAAAGCATCCTTTATGTGTTTTTATTTGTTTTTGTGTAGATTAATATTGTCTCCCCCAGATTCAGATATTGTGACCAGGGCAGAAATTGAATGACAGAGGCAGTGATGCTTGTTCTCTTGGGTTATTTGTCTTATATGCACACTCTCTTTCGTAGGTAGAATTCTCTTAGAAAGTTCTAATCAGATTTCACTTGACCAAATCAGCAGACCCATCTACACATGTGATTTTTCAAGTCCTACAGAATGTATGGTCTATGGGACAGTTGCTTTAGTATTATCTGTGAGCTAATTAGAAATATAGACTTTTAGGCCTTACCTCATGCCTAACTGAATTAAAAGTTTAATGTTAACAAGATTCCCACATGATTCCTATAAATGTTAAAATTTGAGAAACACTTGCTTAGGAGACTCTTGCAGGCTCTCCACTCCTACTTCCCACGTGAAATATGTGCCTGGAAGGATAAAGGTATACAGTATTTAAGATACGCATTTCAGATTACTAAATAGACCAGTGTTTGGCACACTGAAGTTGTTTGAAAGCAATCTAGTGGGTCAAGACCTGTATTTAGTTAATAAAGTAAAATAGAATCATTTCCAAATAGATAATATCAGATTGCATTGCAGATAGTTAGGATGAGTAGTTTTTGGTGAAATTTGTGTTTCCACTGTGTTCATAGTGAGTTGTGATGGAAAATGCATTTCTAACTGGGCTAGGGTTTTTAAAAATTAACAAATTAGCATGAGAATATTCACTACTTGTGCCCTTTATAAGTAGTCCATAAGTGGTACCATGGGAGAGATCTGAGCTCTAAGCACTGAAAGCATTCACTCATGGCCACAGGACTGGAAAAGATCCATATTTGTGCCCACTTTAAAGAAAGGTATCACAACAGAATACCCAAACTATAGAACAATATCATTGATACACACAGAAGTGAAAATACCAGCAGGGATAGCTCCAAGAATGGAGCTAGTAGAGAGCTCCATCTCAGAACGATGGGGTCCGTAGTGCGAAAATAAACTGCTATGAAATCTGTGCTGTACAAAGAGACTCAGGGGATGGTTCTGTATATGCCACAGGAGTGTAGCCTCAAAAGGGGGAAAAAGCATGCCTGCCAGGGTGGAAAGTTGTGGTGGGGTGGGGTTAGGGGAATGCATTGTAGGGGGAACAGTTAGCAAATGCAGATGATTTTGTCTTCCTAGCTTGAAGAAATCAACACCTTATATTTTAGAGACAACATATATTGTTTTTTCCTTGAACTCTACATAGTCTCCAGTGTTGAGTGGTACCCAGAGCAAATGAAAAAGAAAATGCTGTAGGTCTAGGCTGTAGGGTAAGTTTCTTGGACATCTTGGCACACCAAAGTGTATTGTATTTCTCCAAGACAGGAAGGGTCTCTGAAGAGATTGCAAACTCTAAGAGGAGATTTAAAGTACACATTCTTAGGGTTTCATAGCAATACCAAGCCCTCTTGGCAATGAGTCTCCATTAGAGAAGCTGTTCCTAGCTTGCTTCCAGATTCTGGTAGAGACTCCACACCTGATCAGGAAGTATTAATTTTATACACAGAGC